ATTCTCCTCTTGGGATCTTGGGCACGCACGCACACACGCCCAGCATGAGTTTTAAGCCACCGGGTCCAGGACTCGAACCGCGGTCGACTACGTGGGAGTCCAGCAACATAGCCATTACGTTAACTGTTGGTTCCCTCCAGTGTGTTTTTCAAGCTGCTAGGGTTGGGATTTGAACTGAGGTTGGCTGTGTGGGATTTGGCTCCCATAACCACTGGGCTGTGGGACTGGCTCAAGACCTTTCTCTCCTAATGTAAACATTTAATTCTATAATTTTGATGTAAATAATAGTTGAATATCACAGCTATTCTAGCTACAAGGGAAACTAGTAAATTTAATTTCTTAGTTGGACATACTTTCTTTTACATAAATAGAGTTCTATAAGTTAAGGAATCAGGAAAATGAATATTGGATAGGAACCTAGCCTTGTCTGCCACAGCAATAATCGTTTTTTTTGGGGGGGGGAGGTTTTTGCTATAGGGTGCGTGCACTCACCAGACAGAGAGAGACAGAGAGACAGAAAGTGAGAAATCACCCCCCCCCAGAGGGGATGGTCACGCCGCAATCCCTTCTCCTCCATTCTCGGGATCTTGGGCATGCACGCACACACGCCCGGCGTGAGTTTTAAGCCACCAGGTCCCGGACACGAACCGTGGTCCACTACGTGGGAGTCCAGCAACATAGCCATTACACTAACTGCTGGTTCCTCGCAGCAATAACCTTTAAAATCAAGCTGCACAGGACCAGCAGTTAGCATATTGGCTATGTCGCTGGACTCCCACGTAGTCGACCATGGTTCGAGTCCTGGATCTGGTGGCTTAAACTCATGCTGGGCGCATGTGCATGCGTGCCCAAGATCCCGAGAGGAGAACGGAGGAGAAGGGATTGCGGCGTGACCATCCCCTCTGGGGGAGTGATTTTTCGGTTTCTGTCTCTCTCTGTCTGTCTGGTGAGCACACGTGCCCTATAGCGAAAACCTCTCAAAAAAAAAAATTAGTAATTCCTTAGTACCTTGAGATATCCAATGTTCAACTTTAGGTTATCTTGTAAATATTTTTTGTATATGGAAAATGTTTGAGTCCTTATCTAAATAAATTCCATCCTGTTCGTATTTAACTAATTAGTGAAATCTGTGACATTAAAAATTTACCAAAGGGAAAACTGTAGAAATTTGCATTTCTTTTGATTATAGTGAAAACTGTTCATTGTAATTAAGCTGGAGAGAATCTAGTTTTTACTTTCCTTTATTTATTTTATGATATTTTATTTTGGAATGTTGGTTTTTTTGGAGCACAGTGATTACTTTTGAATATTGATATTGACCTCTGTCAGCTGTGCTACTTAACAATACAGTGGTGAGCAAAGTAGACATTCTTTTCTATTATTTAGTCATTTTCAGCTAATGACTTAATATTTAAAACTTCAGTTCTTTTTTTTAAATCTATCCTTTTTTTTTTTTGAATTTTATTCATTCATTCATTTACTTTTCATTTGACCAGAGAGAGACACAGGGAGAGCAAGAGAGGGAAAGTGAGAAAGCAAGCCACCAGGTCCAGGACTCGAACCATTGCCGGCCACATGGGAGTGTCCAGCGCCTTAACCACCACGCCACCCACTGGTCCCTGAAACTTCAGTTCTTTTTACTGGGCAAAGTATTCATTGTTTTCTTGAAAAGCAAAGAAATCAGGGTTTTTTTTTATGCAAAAACAATTAAGTGTAGTGGAAACATTATTACCTGGTGCTGTTTCCGTTTTTTACTTTTGTTTTGAAAATATCCATTCCAATTTGTGTAATACAAAGTCTTTGCCCTCAAGTTAAAATTTAGTAGAAGAGATTCAGCAGAAAACAATGACAAGCTGACAGATGCATCACTTAAGCTCTGTTTCACTTGATTTATTTTTTTGTTTAACTGTTTGATTTTTTTTTTCTACTTGTGTTTTATGACTATATCTCACAGGAGAGCCTTATAGATGCAAGTGAAGACAGCCAGCTAGAAGCTGCCATCAGAGCCTCCTTGCAAGAGACACATTTTGACTCAACACAGACAAAACAGGATAGCCGCTCAGATGAAGAATCTGAATCTGAACTTTTTTCTGGCAGTGAGGAGTTCATATCTGTTTGTGGCTCTGATGAAGAAGAGGAGGTAGAGAATCTTGCCAAGTCCAGAAAGTCTCCCCACAAAGATTTGGGGCATAGAAAAGAAGATAACAGAAGGCCACTGACTGAGCCCCCAGTCAGAACCGAGTCTGGAATAGCCACAAACCACCAAGGATTGCCAGCCGTGGATTCAGAGATCCTGGAAATGTCTCCTGAAAAGTCAGATGGGGTAGTGGAGGAGATAGATGTAAATGGTGAGTTACATTATGAACTTACTTTACTTAAAACTTAAATATTATTGGGCTATTAGGTGGCATGGTGGTTAAGGCGCTGGACTCCCATACGACTAACTGCAGTTCGAGTCTCAGACCTGGTGGCTTATTTTCTCACTTCTCCTTCTCTCTCTCTCTCTCTCTCTCTCTCTCTCTCTCTCTCTCTCTCTCTCTCTCTCTCTCTCTCTCTCTCTCTCTCTCTCTCTCTCTCTCTCTCTCTCTCTCTCTCTGGTGTGCACATGTGCCCTATAGCAAATTAAAAAATAATAAATAAAATAAATCTTTTTTTAAAAAGCTTAAAATATTATTGAGTGTCTTTATTTACTTATTTATTTAAATTAATCGTCTATCTTAAGCTCCTATATCTTTTTTTTTTTTTTTTAACTGTTCCTTTAGGACCAAAAGCACAGTTGATGTTACGGTATCCAGATGGAAAAAGGGAACAAATCACTCTTCCAGAGCAAGCTAAACTACTAGTAAGTATATCTTACTGGAAGCATGTGCTTGAAGCAGAGAAACTAATTAATTAAAGTAAGTCTAGTGAGCTTTGTGTGAAGAGTCTTTCAAAGAGGTATTAGGTATTCTTTCCCATGTCTAACTGGAAACTTAACTGTGGTGAATATTACTTATAATTCTAACTTCTATTTCATTCCAAGTTATCTTAGGCAGGTCACATAGGGCCTTTTCCATTCAAGGCTTATATAGTCCATGGCTATATAGAATAGAAGCCCAGCTGAAATGACTACTTTTGGAAAAGAAGAAGTGGGGTTATGTGAGGCTTCTGGATTTTCTAGTAGCTGGAACTGTAAAGTAGTTAAGAACTAAAACTATTTTTCTGTTTATCTTGTAGGGACTGTTTAAGTTTTCCCTTTGTGATTTTCTGCTCTACACCATTCTCCTCCCTGTATAATGGTGTTTACTTTTGTTTACTCAGCTTGAACAAGGTCCATTATGATGACGTTGAGGGTCTTTTCACCTGAAACTCTCATCTGATGGGCCTTCCCTCTGTGGTTTGTTTTTTTAATTTTATGTTTTTAGATTTTTGCTATAGGGCACGTGCACTCTCTAGAGAGACAGGGAGAGATAGAAAGTGAGAAGTCACCCCCCAGGGAGGATGGCCACACCACAGTCCCTTCTCCATTTTCTTCTTTGGTTCATGGGCACACATGCACACGTGCCTGGCATGAGTTTTAAGCCACCAGATCTGGGACTCGATCCGTAGTCAACTACATGGGAGTCCAACAATGTAACCATTACACCATCTGCTGGTCCATCCTCTATGGTTTTTAACTGCTGGTAGAGAGTGAGTCTGACTAACTCACCTTAGCCTGTGAGTGAGTCTTCTCGAGTCAGGTGTTCATACGTAGCCATTCCCTGTAGCTGGGGATAATTAGGAAGACTGTAAATTAGGATTAGACTCTGAATTAGGATTCAGGAAGATTGTGTGACTGGAATCTCAGTAGGGTCTGGCTATTGTGGCTGGTACTATCTACCTGGCCTAGTGTTTGAAAGGGAATGGGGCGGCGAGGTAATGGAAAGAGTAAGTATAAATAATTTTTTGCGAAACTAGAGGGAAGAATGATCAGTAGACAGAGGAGGGAAAAGTGGTTGGAGAGACTGGATCTGTATAAATCTGATCGGTAGAGGGAGATGTTGAAGAGCCAGCTCCATAGCCTAGTGATTAAGGGAACCATATTCCACATGGCAGGTTGACTGCTTTTTGAATTCTGACCCTGGCTGCTTGAAAAACACACCAGATGTATGTGCATATGTGCCCTAAATCCTAACAGGATAGAGTAGCAGAGAGGGGATTATGGTGTGACCCCACCCCATTGAGGAATGCTTTCTTTCTCTAGCGAATGGACACACCCTCTGACAATTTTTTTAAAAAGGCGACTGGAGAGGAAGAAACCTGTAGGTCACGTTTCTGTAGAGGATATTCTGTTGTATGGTTTTGGGGAAGGCAAGCAGAATTCAGTGTACAGATGACAAAATTGGTTGAAAGTAGAGTCAAAGACATATCCTCACTGACAAAAGGTAGGGAGGAAACTGATAAAATGTTTTAAAATTGAGGACAATAAATGTATAAATAGCAATTGGGTTTATTGATTGGGAAGACAATAATAACCCTGTACACCTCAGTGTCACTTAATGACTCTTAAGTTACTGGATACATATTTCTCATCTTCCCATCCAAAAAGTTACACTGGCCTTTCCGTTCAGTTATCTGAAAAAAATAATTCACACTTTATTTCTCATCTAATATGATAAAAAGGTATGTTGGTATATATTTAGTCCATCAATATGCTCTTTTATTTCCATCTAACAGCCTTGTCTTTCTCTTGTTTTTCATAGGCTTTAGTGAAGCACGTCCAATCTAAAGGATATCCAAATGAACGTTTTGAACTTCTCACCAACTTTCCTCGAAGAAAACTGTCTCATCTGGACTATGACATTACATTACAAGAGGCAGGCCTTTGTCCTCAAGAGACTGTCTTTGTACAGGAAAGAAATTAACACCATGGCCTGACCTCTCTCAGCTTACCCCTTTTTTCCCTTTTCCTGTGAGATACCATGTCACTAAGTATGCATTTTGGCTCATAGGACCATAGAGCCAAAGTTGGGCAAGCAACTCTCCTGCCTTCTCTTTCTTTTATTTCTGTTCTCTCCCCTAATTAGTCTCTTTGTCCCTCCTCCCCCTATTTCCTCTCTATTTTTTCCCACTTTCTTACCTAATCTGGTGACCAAATGGAAGCGTAAGGGTAAGACCTCTCCCAGTACTGGCAGCAGGAGGTGTGTGTTCCAATAAGTGGTCTCTTGCACGGCACTTTTTGGGGATCAGAGGACGTTACTTCTCAGACTCCTTTGGCAAAGGAATGGCTAGGTTCAGAATAAGAACAATCTCCTTTTTTTCCAAGGCCCCAGGGAGAAAAATTCTGTAACACGAATTTTTTTTTTTCATTTTGTTTTTAATGTAGGAAATATCATGTAACAAAACATCTAGGCTTTTGTTTACATGGAAAAACCATCCTTTATAACTGTTGCTGATCATATTTAATTTTTTAAAAAGATTCCCATCTTCCCAGCTATAAGAATTATTTTCATGATATATATTATTTACAGATGAGTGTTAAATGTAGGTTATTTACCGTGGGGTGGCTTTCAATGTCCTAGCCTGTCTTCATTATTATTCAGTTAGCTATATTGATTCTGCTGGTCCTAGAATGGACATTCAGTGAGTGTATTACGGTGACTGGAATAGGAAAGTGCTTGCTCTTTGTGCCAGTACAGCGTATTATTTCCTTTGGCTCCTCCATTGTTTGAGTCCTCAGTGATCTATGGGAAGGCAACATTTCAATAATCATGCAGTAATACCTGGCTTGTATTGTAATCACTATGATTATTGATTGTCCTATGTGCTTTAAGGCATACTTATGTATGTCCCAGGGGGAAAAGAAAAGCATGCAGCTGAGAGTTGCTAACCATGTTTCTTTGGTTAGAAATAATGATTCCTTTTTTAATCCCTGGTTGGAATAATCTCTGAAAGGCTCTGGTGATTGATCAAACTTAATTCCTCATGCTTTTTTTTTAATCCCCCCCCCCAAAAAAAACGAAAGCCTTCCTAAGGAGGAAGACCTTTAAACTCAACTTGTAAAACAACTGTTAATAGGTAGAGGGTGTGGAGATTATCAGTAATCTTCAGATGTTGTGGGTTTTTCCTACCAACAAAAGTCACATTCAAATTGTAGCTGGTGAGAGCTTTTTTCAGTATTATTTAGAAAAGGCCATCTAGTAATCTATATAATACTGTTTACTTAATCAGCTCCATGGTATGCTCGGTTCTTATTTTGAGCGTTAAAATCCTCTGAAGGGATAATAGTGATTCTGGTGGTACAATCACAACTTTAACTTGTTATGAAATCATAATATAGAATGGATGTATTTTGTCAGTTCAGATTTAGATGAATTCTTCTACTTGAGGAACATAAATTGCTATTGCTCAGAGACCTTTAGGTTCTCATCTGCTTTAAAGTGGATATGCACTGGCATATTTATTTTAAGATTGCTCTCTTGACAACTAGGGGATTAAGGAACATGCTATGTGTTGCTAGTATGCAATTTCAGAATATGGTTTCTAATGGTTGGACTTAAAGGGACCCTCCCGAAAGAATGTGTTGTATCTCCTCAAGGAAATCATGAAAAATTCTGTTTATTCTTCAGTGAGTCCTTTTGAATTAATGTTCTTACATTTTTTTCAAAGTCTGTGTAAATGCTTATGTATAAGTATATAATTGTATAAATATTTATAAATATATTTATATAATTACAATTTCAATTATAACTTGAGTCAAAAGTTCTCTCTCTAGATTGGTGACTGAGTAATACCACTTTGGTGTTTTTTCATAGACTGTCAAAGCTTAACTAGCAGCTTCTGATTTATTGAGGAAACATGTTTTTTATGTTAATTTTCCTCAATTGTATCTCTGAACTTGGATAACATACTTGCTATCTGAGGACTAGAGCAGTATATTGTCAGAGGTGCACTGAAGGGTAAAAGCGTGTTGGTGGTAAATGAGGTCAGAATGTAAAAGTGTAGGGAGGTACAGGGTAAGAAGTGAGGATATGCTCAGCACTGTGCTGTGCCGGCACCCAGCTCCACTCCCAGCAGTCACAGCTAAGGCCCAAATCCCTGAGAAGAAATTTTCCCTGTAGGGCTTTGTTTCATTCTGTTGCCTACTAGCTTCCTTTTATAAAATATATCCAGAGTACCTGGGACAACATGTTCACTAATGAGAGGATATAGTTCTTTTTGGTATACTCAGTACTGGCATATCCACTTAGAAGAAACCAAAGTGACTTTTTCAACTTGGGTTACTGTGAGATGACTGAGGATATATAAAGTAACTTAAATAAGAGGGTATGATACATTCATCCAGCTGAAATACAGCCAGAATTTTTAGCATACAAGATGTAGAGGATTGTATTTTATTTTGAGGCAGGAGTGTAATTATCTTGGGGTGAATATTTTGGCCCAGAAGGAGGGGTTGTGTGTTGTACATGTTGAAAGAGTAAATAAGGAGTATTGCCTCGCTCAAGAACTTAATCACTTAAGGCGTGTTCTTCCTACAGTTTTGCCTTATTTCCTCCTCAAGTTCCTTTTCTTTTTGGGGGAGAGGTTAAATGATTAAATGCTGTTAGTAAGATTAATTAAAAGTAGTCATTCTTTGGAGTGTTGGAAACAGCTGGAAAGAGTTTATGGGGAGGGTGGAAAGGAACGACATAGACTTTGGGAGTGACTAGAGAAATATACAGGGATATGGAATGAAAACTAGTGTGAAAAAAGAATTCAAGAATACTTTTGAATTTGATTTAGGGAAGAACCAGAGAAGAGGAACAGTGCCAAATGAGGGAAGAACTTGGAACTAACTTAATCTTCCTAAGAACCCCTCAAAATGTTTGTATTTCCCCCCTTTTATAAATAAAGATGAAAACTGAAGTTGAGAGAACTTCTTCAGGATGTCACAGCTAGTAAGTGGCAAGTCAGAATTGGAGCCCTAAGCCCATGCCCTTTCCACTCCCGTTCTGTGTGTTTTACTACAGCAGGGGAAGCAGTTCGCCCATAAAGGTTATCTTTCCATTATTTGGCTTTACATATTTTTCATTTGATTTTGTTTCCTTAAAGTTAGAATAATGGAGATAAAATTTTGGTTTGAACTATTCCTATAAATTCTTACATCATTATTTTGAGCGATTATTGATTAATCATTTTTTTTAAATAATGCACTAATGAAAATATCTGTGTGGCATTTTTTGAAAAGGATAAAAAAGAATTTTATCTTTTTAAAAATATTTTTCAGAAAAGATATCCATACCAGATTATTAAATCCTTTGAGTATAGTTTTAATGTCCTATAAAATTCTACTTCCACTCTATAGTCAGCAGTTATCTCTTGAGTCCTTATTAAAAGTTGGAAATATTTTAAAATTTCAGATCTGATTCCTGCCTTTTTTTATCTGGTTAGGGAGAGATAATTGGAGAACGTGTAATGTTTACCTTTCTGGGGGTGGAACTATAATTATAATAGAAGTTTAGAAAAGGTCAAAGTAGTGTAGTTTTAGTTAGGCAAATCTTCACAAGAAAAATAAGAGCGGAAGATGGCAAACACGGTAGCTCAACCTTTCTTTTGACTCCCCTGTAGTTTCATCTTATGTTGCCACTAGAATTAGGCAGGACGTGAGGCAAAGCAGTACTCAAGTAGGAAAGGATGATTGATCCCCAGGACTAAAGATTCATAGGTAGGGATCTCAGTTAGACACTTAGGAAGGATAGCACAGGGAGCCACTAGCACCTAAAAAATAGAAAAGGATCTAATTTCTCCACCCAAGTACAAATTAAATGTATAGTATGTTATGTGTGATCTGCAGAAAGGGCGCTCTATGTAAGTTTAATGTAGTTATACACTCAGGTAACAGTTCTGCTACTACAGACAGTTAGTTACCTTGGCAGGTCTCTTCCTTCCTCTGGGTCTTGGGTTCTCTCTATGAAGAATGAGAGAATTGGACTAGATCAGTAGTTCTTAATCTTTTCAAGTAAAAGGACTTGTAATTTTAACATTTGGCATGGGTGAGAAGTTGTAGGGTTAATCAGTAATACAATTAAATCCATAGATAAAGAAACAGAAACTGTAGGGACCCAGGGAGTGTTAGACCACTGAATTAGATGAACTCTAAAGTCCTTTTCCACTCAAATTATATAAATTAGTCTCTGTTTCTTTACAGTTTTGCCAGAGGGTGTGTACCCTGCCTGGAGAAAGAGAGCAAGAGCGCCCCCCTCCCCTCAGTGGCGAATGACCACACCACAATCTTTGTCCTGTATTTCTCTCCTTTCAGGGTTTTGGACACACCCACATGCAGCTGGCATGTGTCTTAAACTGCTGGGTCCAGGACTTGAACTGTACGGCCATATGGGATCCAACTGCCTTAACTACCGTGCCACTGGCTAGCCCTCACCTCTTTATTATGTATTATCCTTGGGCTAATTAAAAGTACACATGTTAATCCATTACTTTGCCTTTTTTTTTTCTCTGTCCAGGTATCATTTGCTCAGTAAATCTCACTGTGATGACTGAAATCTCAAAAAAAAAAAAAAAAAAAAAGATATAATAGTTACAAATCTAGGAACAATCTTTTTTTTTTTTTTTTAATTTACTAAAGGGCACATGTGTTTGCCAGAAAGAGCGCGGGAAAGTGAGAAGGTACCCCTCCCCCCAGGGGAGATGGCTGTGCCACAGTCCCTTCTCTTTCATGGTTCTCTTGGAATTTTGGGCATGCCCACATACACGCTTACCTGGTGTGTTTTTCAAGCCCCCAGGTCTGGTACTCCAACCATGTAGTCAGCCATGTGGAATCTAGTCACCTTAACCACCTCACTACTGGCTGGCCCTAGTAATATCTTTTATATAATTCATTAATCTCTAAAAATTAATGCTCTGTGCCTAATCAATGTTGAGTATGACTAAAATGTAATTAATGAGAACCAAATACGCCATTGACACTGGAGTTAAATTTTATTTTACTTGGGTACTTATAGTACGTTACTGGCCAAGCAGTTGTTGGGAAATTGATTTGTGTAAATTGTACAATTCATACTTAGTTTTGAGATCCTTTTTCAGGATTTCATTAGGCCAGCTTTTTAGAATATATCTTATCCCATAGAGTGTATCTGCACTGTATCCTTTTCCCCACCGTGTCCCCCATTTTTGGTTCTTTACTCAACATTAAATCACAGGGTGCAGGTTGATGGAGAAGTAATATCTTGTGTAAAACTAAAGTAATGAGAGTAGGAAAACCCAACCCTTCTTATGAACATGGCAGTTTTCCAGTCACGCAAGTCTTGATGAGTGGGATATTAAGGACAGCTGTGTACAATAAATACTCAGTTTCATTGATTTGCCTTGCCTAGTATTTCAATGATTGCCCTGCCATGAAACTTAATAAGGAAGTACACATTTTAATATAGTGGCGAAAGTGTTCTTTAGACCTGAAAATAACCAACAGAGAATACCATACTACATATTGATTTCTCTCACTTTATAGAGCTTTGATTTTTCAGTGGTGGTGGTTCTGGTTTTTTGACTCACTTATATGTCAGTCCTGCTAGAGAGACAGCTTGAAAGCAAGAGTAGTTTTTATAGATATTATATTGGCCTTAGTAGTTTCCCCATGAAAGAACTCATCTGTTCAATTAGTGGATGTGATGATGAGACCCTGAATTAGAAAATCTTTTAATTCTACTTTCTCTTGTTTCTTCCCTCCCTATTCTTAATTTTTGACATCCATTCTCTGATATTTAGTCACAATTTTAAAGGAAATTAGCTATTTAAGAAATTGCATTTCCAAGTCTTAACATTTTTCATTTTTTATAAATATGGAAGGGAAGATTTTAAGGCAAACATACCCTTTAATAGCTCATTTTCTCTCTGTCTGAGAATTCTGTAATTCCAGATCCAGACTGGCTAGTTCTCACAACTGTCCCTGGCCTATAGATTGCTGTCATATTACTTAACAGTCTTGACCATTCTCATAAACGTAATGATTTCTGGTATAAGCCTTTTCTTGCCTTATATTCTCAAAGTAAATTGGATAGTCCAATATGAACTACTTTAATAAAACGTATTTTAGCATTTCTGTAATGAGTTATTTTCTAAAGCTAATGCGGTTTACTTGTAGTATTAGAAATGCAAATACCAATGGTAATATTTTACCTAAGAAGAATCACATATTCATCTATAACTAAGGGTTATACTTAATACTGTGTAACAAATTGCAAATTTTTGTTTGTTTAATGACAGTTTGTCTATAACAATCGAAATGTCCTAAGGTTTTATATCCTTCATAAGGTCGCTTGGGTTTTCAAATTGTAATAGTCAAGCCAGAGTAAATTGAACATAAGTAATATTTTATCTCCATCAAAAGAAGTTATTAAATCTAATCTGGCTACTGTGAGTTATTTACTTATTAGGGTCAATAAAATGGGAAACATTTCAAATAAGTAAGACAAATTCTGGCCTGGAATAGAGTTCTCAGTTCCTTAAAATCTTTTTTTATTCACTTTTCATAGACTCAATACAATATGAGAATTTTAACTGTTAAGGGAGAGATTCTTGGTCTGGAACCATTCCCTGCCATTCTGCTTTTCTTCCTCTCTGTCAAGATAGCTGGCTGTGACAGTGCGTGTCACCAGGATCCATTTCAAGTTAATGACATCAGAATGTTGATACTCAGTTGAATATCTTGCTGTTTCTAACAAGTGATTTTCTACTATGCTTTTCTCAAAGCTTCTATGTTCTTAATAATAGAAAATATTAATAAATTAAACGATGTGATTCAAACTATAAATAGGTTTATGACACTAATCATATGTTCTTAATAACTTTTTAATAACTTATTGCCCTTAAGTTAAGCTTCCTCACATGGAATGACTGTTGCCACCAGAAGATTCCTTTTTATCTGCTAATTAGAGTGAAAGTGGTATGTGACCCCTACTTTTCAGTTAATGAGTAGCAAGCTTGTAGTAGGGGCTATTTATCTTGCCCATTTGGATACATGGGCCTTGTTACTTTCCTAGGTACTTGTCCCTTCGGTGTGGAAAGACTAATTTAAAACACTTGCTGGGGAACAGACAGTAAAGCTGTAGTAATCCTCTAGTCTTAGGTTTTCCTCTAGTCTTAGATACAGAGAAATGAGTACGAATTTACTCTACCATAATACTTAAGACTGAGGGGCTTCCATCCGAGCTTTGGCATGAATCTGTTAGACACAATTTTCTTCACTTGTCTAATATTTTTTTTTTTCCAGAACGGTTTTCCTTTTGATAAATTCTAAACATTTGTTTTTTTCTTTTTTTAATTTTGTTGTTGTTGTTGTGGTTTGTATTTTCAACCTTAAGGAAAATCCTTTTTCAAGTAGGTATTGTTTCATGGAAATTCTTGGGAGCATTTGTAGGACCCTGTGCATGCTTTGAGTTCGGTTTGAACAATGTGTTTGGAATCATCTGGGATGTCTGATTCTGGCATGTCTTCACTAATTGTGTTTTTAACATTTTTCATGTCATTTTTCAAACCTCATTTCCCATCTTATTCAGAGAGGTTAATCAAAGAATGAGATTTGTTTGGGTTTAGGGATGAGGGTGGGTTGGGGACTTGAGTGAAGTCAACTTAGGGTATTTGCTTTAAAGTGTTTTCTCAAGCATTTCCTAACAGTATTTAGAGATTCCCTGGGATTTTGTGTACTCAATTTATTCTGGACAAAGTGGTGGTCTTACTGAGATATGCATTCTTAATGCAGGACAGGCTCTAAATTTACTCTCTAATACAACTTGTTACTGAACCCAAGAAGATAATTGACAGACACAATGTTCTTATTGTAGTGTTTCGGACAAGTGCACCCTAAAATGCAGAGTTCTCAGTTTTCTGGGCCTTTTATCTCATGGTGCTAGGAGTTACTTGTTTCTGCAGCTCTTCCCAAAAGAGGGAAGAGGCTCTGGGACCAGTGAGCAAGGGGCAACAAGCCCATCCACTAAATATTTTTGTTCAGGACACACAAGAGACCTTCCTGTATATCTAGTAAGTGATAATAAAGGTGCTAGGGAAAGCCTTAAATTTGAAGACACATGGAGGGTGGTAGGAAATCTAAACTCATAGGAGAACAACTTGCCATTCGGTAAGGCAGAGCTGTAACTGCTGAGACTCAATGGAACTTCCACTTGCTCTAAAACCAGGGAAATCTTAGATGACTGGGTGTGATATATCTATAGATACACATAGTCTATAGGTAATGCTTTCTAAAATGAGGATCTTTCTCTCGGTTGGTGATCCTCTGGTTTTGGCTGTACCAAATTGTGAATATTCTTGCTGTGTTGTACCCAGTTGCTTTATATTAATACTGCAACTTGAATTGGGAAGGGGGGTGGGGCGGCTGGGTGGGGGAGGGAGGGGAGTGGGACGATAAGTCTTTTGAAGACATCAGCTCACTGTGCTGAGAGAGGGACCAAACTCAAGGAAACCTCTGATCTATAAATTCAACTGCTGCATTTTTTTATAAATACATGTAAATGTCCTGTTGTAATATTTGATCTTGGAAATAAAAACAAAAACTTTTCAGTATTAGTTTTTTGTGTCATTGGTTTTTTAAGATAAGACTCTGGATATTACTTTCATTATTGCAATTCAGATTCCAAAAGCTTGCACTCATATTCTCATGGTTAGGACACTTGGTACTTATTGACAAAGGTCAGTTTATAGTCCTTTAGTCAAGTATAATGTTACTGACTTTTCCTCTTGTTCTTAGTATTGAACATTTATGGTAGGCACTCTATTTAAGTGTTGGTAGAATTGTTATGTAAACACTGAGTTAGCTAGCCTTGCTAAGAAAATATGATTCTATATTTGACTAATTGGGCAATTGAACGAATCTTCCAGACTGGCAATAATCACTGAGTAATTAGTAAATTAATGGGAGAAAGGCCAGAGATAGGTTATTTTCTATAATAGAAATGAGGATCATTGCCTAGCCCACAATTCCCCCTGTGACGGATTTGCCCCTTTTTGCTTTTGTAGAATCATTCCTTGTCCCTATTCTCTAGCCTCACTATGTGCTGAATAATAGGGATGTAGGGATGAGCAAAACACAGCCCCTGTGCTTGAAACTTCTAGTTAAGACAGATGATGAAAAAATACAATTAATGAAAAAAATACAGATTTGATTCAAATACTATGAAAAACTAGAAAAGGAGCAGTAGAAAATTAAACTTTAAATGGAATGTTGTGGAGTTACCTTTAGGCCAAGACCTGATGGGTGGGAGCAAGTGGTCTGTGCCAATAGGAGAGAGACTTCCAAGCAGACCAACAAATGCGAAGGCCATGGAGCATTGAGAAGGCCAATTTGGCATGTAGTGAGCAGAGGGAGTGTTATGAAATAAGTAAGAGCCAGACCATTGAAGTCCTTGTTGGGCCCTGGCAAAGAGCTTGGCTATATGTTCTGAGTGCAGAGAGAAGTCAATGTTATGCAGAGAGAGTGGTTTGGAAGAGAGCGAGAGTAGAGACTATATGAATGATCAGTGTTAAAAAAAAAAAAAAACATGACCTGGACTAGAATAGTGGCAAT